TCATCATCATCATCATCATCATCATCATCATCATCATCATCATCATCATCATCATCATCATCATCATCATCATCATCATCATCATCATCATCATCATCATCATCATCATCATCATCATCATCATCATCATCATCATCATCATCATCATCATCATCATCATCATCATCATCATCATCATCATCATCATCATCATCATCATCATCATCATCATCATCATCATCATCATCATCATCATCATCATCATCATCATCATCATCATCATCATCATCATCATCATCATCATCATCATCATCATCATCATCATCATCATCATCATCATCATCATCATCATCATCATCATCATCATCATCATCATCATCATCATCATCATCATCATCATCATCATCATCATCATCATCATCATCATCATCATCATCATCATCATCATCATCATCATCATCATCATCATCATCATCATCATCATCATCATCATCATCATCATCATCATCATCATCATCATCATCATCATCATCATCATCATCATCATCATCATCATCATCATCATCATCATCATCATCATCATCATCATCATCATCATCATCATCATCATCATCATCATCATCATCATCATCATCATCATCATCATCATCATCATCATCATCATCATCATCATCATCATCATCATCATCATCATCATCATCATCATCATCATCATCATCATCATCATCATCATCATCATCATCATCATCATCATCATCATCATCATCATCATCATCATCATCATCATCATCATCATCATCATCATCATCATCATCATCATCATCATCATCATCATCATCATCATCATCATCATCATCATCATCATCATCATCATCATCATCATCATCATCATCATCATCATCATCATCATCATCATCATCATCATCATCATCATCATCATCATCATCATCATCATCATCATCATCATCATCATCATCATCATCATCATCATCATCATCATCATCATCATCATCATCATCATCATCATCATCATCATCATCATCATCATCATCATCATCATCATCATCATCATCATCATCATCATCATCATCATCATCATCATCATCATCATCATCATCATCATCATCATCATCATCATCATCATCATCATCATCATCATCATCATCATCATCATCATCATCATCATCATCATCATCATCATCATCATCATCATCATCATCATCATCATCATCATCATCATCATCATCATCATCATCATCATCATCATCATCATCATCATCATCATCATCATCATCATCATCATCATCATCATCATCATCATCATCATCATCATCATCATCATCATCATCATCATCATCATCATCATCATCATCATCATCATCATCATCATCATCATCATCATCATCATCATCATCATCATCATCATCATCATCATCATCATCATCATCATCATCATCATCATCATCATCATCATCATCATCATCATCATCATCATCATCATCATCATCATCATCATCATCATCATCATCATCATCATCATCATCATCATCATCATCATCATCATCATCATCATCATCATCATCATCATCATCATCATCATCATCATCATCATCATCATCATCATCATCATCATCATCATCATCATCATCATCATCATCATCATCATCATCATCATCATCATCATCATCATCATCATCATCATCATCATCATCATCATCATCATCATCATCATCATCATCATCATCATCATCATCATCATCATCATCATCATCATCATCATCATCATCATCATCATCATCATCATCATCATCATCATCATCATCATCATCATCATCATCATCATCATCATCATCATCATCATCATCATCATCATCATCATCATCATCATCATCATCATCATCATCATCATCATCATCATCATCATCATCATCATCATCATCATCATCATCATCATCATCATCATCATCATCATCATCATCATCATCATCATCATCATCATCATCATCATCATCATCATCATCATCATCATCATCATCATCATCATCATCATCATCATCATCATCATCATCATCATCATCATCATCATCATCATCATCATCATCATCATCATCATCATCATCATCATCATCATCATCATCATCATCATCATCATCATCATCATCATCATCATCATCATCATCATCATCATCATCATCATCATCATCATCATCATCATCATCATCATCATCATCATCATCATCATCATCATCATCATCATCATCATCATCATCATCATCATCATCATCATCATCATCATCATCATCATCATCATCATCATCATCATCATCATCATCATCATCATCATCATCATCATCATCATCATCATCATCATCATCATCATCATCATCATCATCATCATCATCATCATCATCATCATCATCATCATCATCATCATCATCATCATCATCATCATCATCATCATCATCATCATCATCATCATCATCATCATCATCATCATCATCATCATCATCATCATCATCATCATCATCATCATCATCATCATCATCATCATCATCATCATCATCATCATCATCATCATCATCATCATCATCATCATCATCATCATCATCATCATCATCATCATCATCATCATCATCATCATCATCATCATCATCATCATCATCATCATCATCATCATCATCATCATCATCATCATCATCATCATCATCATCATCATCATCATCATCATCATCATCATCATCATCATCATCATCATCATCATCATCATCATCATCATCATCATCATCATCATCATCATCATCATCATCATCATCATCATCATCATCATCATCATCATCATCATCATCATCATCATCATCATCATCATCATCATCATCATCATCATCATCATCATCATCATCATCATCATCATCATCATCATCATCATCATCATCATCATCATCATCATCATCATCATCATCATCATCATCATCATCATCATCATCATCATCATCATCATCATCATCATCATCATCATCATCATCATCATCATCATCATCATCATCATCATCATCATCATCATCATCATCATCATCATCATCATCATCATCATCATCATCATCATCATCATCATCATCATCATCATCATCATCATCATCATCATCATCATCATCATCATCATCATCATCATCATCATCATCATCATCATCATCATCATCATCATCATCATCATCATCATCATCATCATCATCATCATCATCATCATCATCATCATCATCATCATCATCATCATCATCATCATCATCATCATCATCATCATCATCATCATCATCATCATCATCATCATCATCATCATCATCATCATCATCATCATCATCATCATCATCATCATCATCATCATCATCATCATCATCATCATCATCATCATCATCATCATCATCATCATCATCATCATCATCATCATCATCATCATCATCATCATCATCATCATCATCATCATCATCATCATCATCATCATCATCATCATCATCATCATCATCATCATCATCATCATCATCATCATCATCATCATCATCATCATCATCATCATCATCATCATCATCATCATCATCATCATCATCATCATCATCATCATCATCATCATCATCATCATCATCATCATCATCATCATCATCATCATCATCATCATCATCATCATCATCATCATCATCATCATCATCATCATCATCATCATCATCATCATCATCATCATCATCATCATCATCATCATCATCATCATCATCATCATCATCATCATCATCATCATCATCATCATCATCATCATCATCATCATCATCATCATCATCATCATCATCATCATCATCATCATCATCATCATCATCATCATCATCATCATCATCATCATCATCATCATCATCATCATCATCATCATCATCATCATCATCATCATCATCATCATCATCATCATCATCATCATCATCATCATCATCATCATCATCATCATCATCATCATCATCATCATCATCATCATCATCATCATCATCATCATCATCATCATCATCATCATCATCATCATCATCATCATCATCATCATCATCATCATCATCATCATCATCATCATCATCATCATCATCATCATCATCATCATCATCATCATCATCATCATCATCATCATCATCATCATCATCATCATCATCATCATCATCATCATCATCATCATCATCATCATCATCATCATCATCATCATCATCATCATCATCATCATCATCATCATCATCATCATCATCATCATCATCATCATCATCATCATCATCATCATCATCATCATCATCATCATCATCATCATCATCATCATCATCATCATCATCATCATCATCATCATCATCATCATCATCATCATCATCATCATCATCATCATCATCATCATCATCATCATCATCATCATCATCATCATCATCATCATCATCATCATCATCATCATCATCATCATCATCATCATCATCATCATCATCATCATCATCATCATCATCATCATCATCATCATCATCATCATCATCATCATCATCATCATCATCATCATCATCATCATCATCATCATCATCATCATCATCATCACACTAATCTCTATCACATATAATTTCGTTTATCAAATTATCCAAATCACATAATTGTTCTTTTTACAAATCATTATTATTAACTATTTTCACCATTTGGTGTCAATTGATTCGATGTGTTTTTTCGAGTCATTCTTTCTCTCAATCTCTCTCTTCCAGAATCTTTCAGAAACATTGATCTTCACATTCTTCAAGTACACGATCTACACGAGTTCAGTCAAGGATGAGGTGTTGACTAATGAGTATTGTGGTTTCTTATATTAATGCTTCCTTATTTTTGTCTTTCATACTCCAACTCATCTTAATCTCTCTACTGAATTAGATTGATCTACCCAATTCTATTAATCAAAATACTCATATTCTTCTCAACTAATTATTGTCAACCATTCTAATCACTTTAGTTTGTGTTTTATTCATCCAATTACACATGTTTTACACTAATCATTCTCCTATTAACATTCATAAGAATATCTACTCTGATTGATTGACATTTATGTAATACAATATGTATACCAGAAATATCTAAGTATATAAATAAGATGCCGGTATTCACTACATTTATGTTCCTCATTCACAATTAATCTCTCACCAATGATTTATGTTACTATGTCTATTTATTATTTAGTTTATCAAAATAAAAATTCTTTTACAACCACCCACCCACCCACTCACCCACCCTTTTTATCCATAATCAATTCATTTCATTAATTCTATCCATTTAGTTATCAATTCATTAAAATGATTCCTTTGTAAGGCGAACAAACAAACCCAAAAACGGAAGTATCCATAGTAAATCTCTACTTACACTAAACTAATCAATTGTATCCATTTTTTGTTGTTGTTGTTGCTGTTGAAAGAATTTTATTTTTCAGCCTTTTTTTTTGCTTTTCTTTTTGTTTATTCAAACCATCTGTTCAATTGTCAATTATTCTTATTCTTATTCTTATTGATAAATCAGCATGCGTATCCAATATATTGTAGTGCATGTGAATTAGTGTTTATGTTCATTCGGAATATATGTTTGTCTCTCTCTCTCCCTCTCTCTCTCGGTCTTTCTTTCTTTCTCCCTTCCCCCCTCTCTCTCTCACACACTCTCCATCTCCATCTCTGTGATATATTGCCACGCCTAATACATAGACACAAGCGTTATACACACACATACACACGGAGAGAGAGCGAGAGCGAGCGAGAAAGATTCTTTGTTCCCAATGTTTAAATCAATCAGTCAGAAGATATGAAGTTGATCAATAGAAGTAATTTTATTGTTTATTTCTTTTCGTCTAGTCTTTGTTCATGTATACTTCTCTCTTCTTCTTTCTTCTTCTTCTTCTTATTGTTATTGTTGTTTTTGGTCAGTCTATAAAATAAATGACAGTCGTTTACATTAAACATCTACATTCACATTCACACACACAGATACACACACCAATAAATGAATACTTTTCTCTTAACAATAAAATAATAATAATAAAGATACCGGATTATTTCAATTTATAGTAGACTGTTATAGTTGTGATTGGGACGAGTAATTATTATGAATAATTGTGAATCTATTTGATGTGATTTTATACATTTTGTATTAGCTATTTAATTAGAATAGTTTCTTTTTTAATAATATAAAGAGAGATAGAGAGATAGAGAGATAGAGAAGGGATGTAGGTATATCCGGTTGATGAGTTCTAAATAGGACGAAACATGAGTCAAACTGGTTTCCACTAATAACCATTATACATGTTTGCTTAGAATAGCTTATGACTTAAGGTTATCCACATAGGATGCATATATGCTAATAAGAGACTGATGATCAATTGCAAATCTAAATAACAATGGAAAGATTTAAATTAACAATATCAAGTGAATTTAAAACTTCACCCTATTGCACAAGCAAATGACATTTAGGACTCAGTAGCTAAGTGAATGATGGAATGACGTTTTAAGCAAACGGAACTAAGTTCGAGTCCCAGAGTGAACATCAACTCTGGAATGCAGGTAGATCCAGCTGATGAGTCTTAAATAGAATGAAACATGAGTCAAATTGGATTCCAATACTATCCATTATTCATCTTTGCTTAAAATAGCCTGTGACTTAAAGTTATATTGAAGCTATCCACATAGGATGCATATATGCTAATAAGAGACTGATGATCAATTGCAATTCTATATAACAATGTAAATGAAATACTGTGATGGATTATTTATTAATGAAATTAACATTCACTCATTCCATATACTCATATAATCCGGCTTAAATCCTTCAGAGCATTGTGTTAATAATAGAGTTACTGGTTATGGGTAACTTGTGGTAGTCGATTAAAAACTGTATTTAGATTCCGTGCTAGTTCATCCTAAACAACAAGGCATATATACAATCTTAAAGAAACAAAAATTACCGGTTCATACTGAAGTGACTGAGCTTCACATTCTGAAAACTTACCACTAAACTATTTGAGCAGTTCGTAACTTCATCGATAGAGTTACATCAACTTTAAGGACTAAACAAACATAAAATTGATTATTATTATTTAATAATCAACCAATGTAATAATTTCAGTCCTACTGGATGAGTCTAATTGCACCCGATTTTCCACAAATAATTCTAGAGAATTTCTATTCTGACAGCTATTAGGAAAATTCATAACATACATCTCAAATTCTTTCGCTGAGATTTTACAACTACATTCTTCCTTTTTAATGTTACACATTAACTCGGCGCCCAAATATTGTGAAACTGTTCGTTCAAATTTAGACGAAAGTTCTTATTTATACATCTCTGAACTCCTAAGATTTATAACTCCCATCAATCGTTTGTTCAAGTCTAGTATGAATAAGTAGGGATAAAACAAATGATGACTAACCCTGTCATTTTAACCCTACACCAAACCATATACTCTAATACAAACACACTAAAAACATGATTACACAATCACATATGCAATTGGTTAGGAACAATAAGAAATATTACCGATGATTTGCATGAGAATGTTTATATCCAAGTTTTTACATAATAGATAAATACAGCATTTCCAATCTCTCTTCATGATGAATCAAGTTAACAGATATATAGAGATTAACATTGTCAAACACAATTTCATTGTTCTAGTGTAAATATCTTCAAAGATATATTCATTGAATGTCGTTGAAACTCAAACCGTTTTTTCTGTTTCATAAGATTAGTTTCCATCATGGATACATGTAAATTGATCAATATAGTTAGCAGTTATATGCGAAATTTGTCTAATAATTCTAGTTCTAGTAAGAAGTCATGACCAGTGGAATTCAACCAGGTCTGTTGTGAGATAGTAAGTCATTGAACAAAATAGTAGATGTTTCGCTCAATTTCGTGGATTAGTTGAAATTAGATATTAACACCGTTGAATGCCGGCTCAATAATCTGATGGTTAAGCGTTCGCGCGCAAGACCGACAAGTCCTGAGTTAGAATCTCGCAGGGGCGGGATCATGGATACACACTGCTGAGGAGTCCCATAATAGGACGAAACGGCCATTCGGTGGTTCCAGATTGATGAAAAACTTTGAATATATTTATCACTAAGTGTATTGATATTTATCTAAATAAAGAATTCCTATCTATTCAATCTTAAATGATACAATGTATGATAGGTGGTTTGTTTTAGTTAATTTAAAGTAGAAAGACAATTTGATTTGTGATCTACACATGAATCACTATGCCTCTATGTACTGTATAATGAAGTTAACAATAAAGTGAGGTCAATATAATGAAATGCAAATGATAACCATCTAATATCCGTATTCATTTACTTTGGATGTAGATATATGTGTATGTGTGTGTGTATAAGTAGAGCTTTGTATATCCACAGTTGTACACATATTTATTACTACATTAATCGATATGCGAATACTGAACAAGATGACAGATAAAGCACTATACTTGAATAATTGATCGAACTAACTTCTTAACAGAATTCCCAGAGTACAAATGGAACAACTGCTCCAACGGCAAGAGATGATGATCTCATAATATGTCAAGCTCATAAAGTTAGATAGATAGATAGATAGATAGATAGATAGATAGATAGATAGATAGATAGATAGATAGATAGATAGATAGATAGATAGATAGATAGATAGATAGATAGATAGATAGATAGATAGATAGATAGATAGATAGATAGATAGATAGATAGATAGATAGATAGATAGATAGATAGATAGATAGATAGATAGATAGATAGATAGATAGATAGATAGATAGATAGATAGATAGATAGATAGATAGATAGATAGATAGATAGATAGATAGATAGATAGATAGATAGATAGATAGATAGATAGATAGATAGATAGATAGATAGATAGATAGATAGATAGATAGATAGATAGATAGATAGATAGATAGATAGATAGATAGATAGATAGATAGATAGATAGATAGATAGATAGATAGATGTGTGGATAGATACATAGAGAGATAGATAGATAGATAGATAGATAGATAGATAGATAGATAGATAGATAGATAGATAGATAGATAGATAGATAGATAGATAGATAGATAGATAGATAGATAGATAGATAGATAGATAGATAGATAGATAGATAGATAGATAGATAGATAGATAGATAGATAGATAGATAGATAGATAGATAGATAGATAGATAGATAGATAGATAGATAGATAGATAGATAGATAGATAGATAGATAGATAGATAGATAGATAGATAGATAGATAGATAGATAGATAGATAGATAGATAGATAGATAGATAGATAGATAGATAGATAGATAGATAGATAGATAGATAGATAGATAGATAGATAGATAGATAGATAGATAGATAGATAGATAGATAGATAGATAGATAGATAGATAGATAGATAGATAGATAGATAGATAGATAGATAGATAGATAGATAGATAGATAGATAGATAGATAGATAGATAGATAGATAGATAGATAGATAGATAGATAGATAGATAGATAGATAGATAGATAGATAGATAGATAGATAGATAGATGTGTGGATAGATACATAGAGAGATAGATAGATAGATAGATAGATAGATAGATAGATAGATAGATAGATAGATAGATAGATAGATAGATAGATAGATAGATAGATAGATAGATAGATAGATAGATAGATAGAGGTGTGGATAGATAGATAGATAGATAGATAGATAGATAGATAGATAGATAGATAGATAGATAGATAGATAGATAGATAGATAGATAGATAGATAGATAGATAGATGTGTGGATAGATACATAGAGAGATAGATAGATAGATAGATAGATAGATAGATAGATAGATAGATAGATAGATAGATAGATAGATAGATAGATAGATAGATAGATAGATAGATAGATAGATGTGTGGATAGATAGATAGATAGATAGATAGATAGATAGATAGATAGATAGATAGATAGATAGATAGATAGATAGA